TGCGCCGTCCGGGGGGGAGGGCTGCTGCGGAAGGGCCTGCGCGCCGCGTCACTTCCAGCGCCGCCGCCTCCCGCCCGCCCGCCCGCACACCTGGCCCTCCCGGAGCCTCGCCAGCCGCCGCCGCGCTCGCCACCGAAGGCGGAGCGAGCCCCGAAGCGGCGCCTGCTGGGGCTGGTAGTCAGTGGCCTTGCAGCCGCCCGTCCGCGGCCGCTGGCGGCTTCCGAGGGGCTGGTGCCCGCCGGGCTGGGAAGGGCTGCGAGGGCCCGTCGAGGATCCCGCGCAAGCGGCGGCGGGGGCGCTGCAGGCTGTGCCCGTGCGCGTGCACGCGCGATTCATGAGCCGGGGCGCGGGGAGAGCCCGTGGCCGCGGCACTCGGGAGCAGGCACGGGGCAAGAGGGGCCGCCGCTTCCCGCCAGGGCGCCCCCCCCCGTGCTCCGCCGCAAACGGGGCCTCCACGCCGCACGGCGCCCCGAGTGGCGCCTCAGCCCGCCCGCTGCACAGCGGCTGCGCGCCGGGCCCCCCTTTGCCTGCAGCCTGGCGGGGCCCCTTCTCGAGGTCGGGCACTCAGCGTGCCAGCCTCTGCCTGGGACCCCTCGGCACTGCGTTGCGCTTGCTGACACGTTCATGCGCTCGTTCGGGACACTTCTATTCCACCGTTTCCCTCCAAGGAACACAAGGTGCCAACACGGTTCGCCTCTTCCTCCTCACCGTCTTCCCCGTACGCCCACCTGGGGAGGTAGGGCGGGCTGAGGGTCTGTGGCTGGCCCACTCCCCAGTTGGCTCCATGGCTGAGTAGGGGCTGGAACCCAGCTGCCCGAGTCCCCGTCCCGCACCCTTCAGCTCTGCGCCACACTGATGCCCAAACCCCCGGCAGCCCCTTCTGGTTTGAGCCGGGGTGGCAAAGGCGTGGCAGCAGCTAACCTGAATTTCAAGCGCTTGAGCTGAAGCGGAAGCTGGTGGGGGGGGGGGGGGGGGGGGACCCCAGGGCAAGTGGCTGGGAGCCGCTGGCCCTGGTCCACAATGCTACAATTGGCCAACAGCCGGGGACGGGGAGGCCTCTTGGCATGGTGGGCTGGCATCGCGCCACTGCGGGGGGAGCGGGCTGGAAAATTCCCGGCTAGAGAGGGTCCTGCCGGGCCCCACCGGTGAGAGGCCCCCCCTCCCGAGCCCAGCAAGGGGACCTGCCAAGTCCAGCGCAGGTGAGGGCCAGCTTTGCTCTTTCGCAACAGGAGTTGTGGGGAGGATACCATCATCTGCTGGCACCACGTAATTTTGCTGCCGCCCACTCGGCCTTTCGGTAGCCCATCAAGTTTTTGAAGCTTTGATCCTTCCGAGGAAGGGCAGAACGAATGAGATGCGCAGGAAGACTTTGATCAACGGACGAGTTGGAACTCTTTCGTGAGGCATCATCATTGCAGCCCTTGATTAGGGTTTGGGTTGGGGCCCAGGTTAGGGCTAGTGTTAGAAAAGCCATGTGCTCCTGGGGTTGCCAAGGCTTTGGGTGTGCTTAGGCTGGGCGGACAGAACGAGCTGTGGAGAAAAAACACGCAAAGCGGCATTTTGGAATGGTGCCCGGAGGCCAGAGCTTTTCAAGGCCCTTTAAGGGTTGGGGTTAAGGCCTGGGACAGGTTTAGGGTTAGATAAACCAAGGTCTGCTGGGACATCATTAGACTGGGCAGTGAGAGAATGCTCTGCAGAAGAGCTTCCGGCAATCTTGCATTTGGCTGTGCCTTGTCGCATGAGCGTTGCAGCCATCTATCAGGGTTTGGTAGTCGTCCAGTTCAGTGTTTGGGTTGGAAACCCCACGGCGCCCATGAAGCTTTTGGGGCTTTAAATGTGTTTGAAATCAGACATTTTCAGCCGTGCTTAGTAACCTCTACAACGTTTGCATTTTGGAAGTGTGTCTTGAGGCTTGGGTATTGTAGGGTTGGGGGTACGGCCCATGTCAGGATTAGCGTTAGAAGAACCAGAGTGCGCGTGCTTTTTTTGAGCCTTGGGTTGGGGGAAAAGTAAGCACTTTTCAGAAAAACAGCTACAGAGCCCGCTTTTTGGAAATCTGTCCTGAGGGATGGGATTCACAGCCCCGCATTTGGCTTAGGGTTGGTGTCCAGGATTGGCTTGGAGTGAGAAAAACCAGGGTGCCCAAGGAAGCTGTGGGGGATGGAAGCATGTTCACATGGGCCGGAAGGAGGGGCCGGAGGATCCAGCCCCCTTCCCCACCGCTCTCCTCTGAGTAAACGGGGAATTCACTGGCCCGGGAAGTGGTGATAGCTGCCAATGTGGATGGCTCTGAAAGGGACTGGAATGACTCAAGGAGCGGGAGGCGATCCGTGGCCACTCACCTTGCTGCCCGTGGCCCTCCCTCTTACCTCCCCCTCCCAACCGCTTCTCTGCCTGTCCCTGGCAGGCAGAATGGGGCCACCCCGAGCCACCCAGGCCTAGGGGGCCCCGGAGGACGGCGCTTTCCCGGGCGGCCAGCTGCACCCGGTGGCACCAACAGCGGGCGGCCAGTGGAAGGAGAGTGCAGCACATCGGCGGCTTGCTGACTCTTCCTGCCCGGACCATCAGGTGTGCAGCTGAGAAGGGAGGAGCGGGGCTGCCCCAAGTCCCCACTGCCCCCTCCTGCCCCCGTTGGTGCACTGGCTTGAGCCCCGGAGCCCGGCACTCAGGCCGAGGCCGGGCCCCGCACCCCCCTGCCTGCCGAGCCCTCTGGGGCCGAGCTGGATGTGGGCGCAGAGAGGCGGTGAGCCCGGGAAGCGCAGCGCCGCCTCCTCGGGGGGGCACTTGGCCACACGGTGCGCTCAAAGAAGCATCTCCGGGCGCTCCTTTGGGCAAAGCGCTCCGGCCACACGCCGCTTTCCTTCTGAAGGAGCTCGGAGCCGCGGATGCCTGCCCCCAGGCCTGAGCCGGTGCGCCTCGCTGGCTTTCTGGCGCTGGGCAGCATCCAGCCCTCGCCCAGAAGGCTGTGCCGGGCTCCGCCTCCAGACCGCCTCCCAGCGCAGGCGAGGGGGCGACCTGCCCGCCCCAAACCGTGCCAACCGCCGCCATGAAGGCTTTGTGACAGGAAACAAGGTACCCCGGGGAAGCGAGGTGTGCGGGCACCGTGCGGGGCCCCTGCGCAGAAGAGCCGCCCGTCCTGCCCCCGCCACAGCCCTCCCTTTGGCATCCCTCGCCTCTCGGGGTCCAAAGCACAAGAGCCCACACGCAAGGGCTGTGCTCGTCGCCGAAGCTGGGTGCTCTCCTCGCCCTGCCCAGCCCCAGCCCCCCATCCCCCTGCCCCCAGTTCGCCACCCGGCCACAACTCGGGAGTTTGCTTCATGGGTTGTTTGTGGCTGCCGAGGCGCAGCTGGACCCCGACGACACGAGAGCCGGCGCTTCGCCCACGCACGGCCCGGCCCGGCCCTCGTGTGTGGTTACCGCGTTGCCCGACCACGGCTGCAAAGAGACGGGACACTGGGAGGCAGGGCACGTCCAGCAGAGAGCGGCAGCCGCGGGTCAAGGCATCGCACTGCTTTTATTCATGCTTTCCTTCTGCCAGACTTGCCCGTCTGCCAGGCCGAGCAGCCGCAGGCCTCCTGGGCTAGCCAGCCCCCAGGGCACGGCCCTCTCCGCACGCCCCTCCCAGCCTGGGGGCCACAGCCTTCAGCATGGGCGTCTCGTCTCGTCTCGTGGCTCCGCTCCAGGGACGCGCCCCCTCGCTGGCCCTCAGGGGTAGCTGTCGGCATAGGAAAACTTGGGGATGAAGTATCGCTGCACCAGCTGCTGCGTCGCAGAGAAGGCCCTGGGCGAGGCCGGCCTGTGCAGAGGGGGCAGGAACGGGCCCACGTGGATCCTGGGCAGAGGCAGCTTCACAAAGGGGACAAAGCCCTTCATGACGTAGCGGGAGAAGATATACGGGAAGTAAAAGCCTGCGTTGGGGAAATGGGACAGAGTAGAAAGGGGGGTCAGCCGAGCGCTTGGTGCGGGGAGCGTCCCTGTCTGCCCAGGGCGAGGAACAGGCGGGAGAGAAATGACCCCATTCAGCCTGGCCGCAGCTCGGCCACAGGGTCTTTCCCCCGGGACAGGCCGGGGGCAGGTCGACTGACCCCGAGGGACCACCGGCAGGTACTCCGTGGCACGCGGCAAGCTGCCCTGGGCGACTCCGCACCCCCCCCCGGAGGGAAGGGGCTCGCTGGGCCGCAGCCACCCCCGGGGGCGGTGGCCGAGGGCCCCACACTCACGCTCGGGAACCCTCTTCCGCAGCATCACGTTCGTCTCTCCCAGGCGCAGGATGGCGGGCCTCCTGTTGGGGCACGAGGCAACTCCCTGGCCGACAGCCTTGCACGAGCGAGCGCCCAGCGGCCGGCCACCGGAGAGCAGGACCCGGCAAGCCCGGCGAGGGGCTGCCGGAAGGCCCCTCTGCGCACCCCTTCCAGGGGTGCCGGACACGGGCAGGGCCGAGGGCGCCACCCACATCGCACGGGGTCAAGCCCAGCTCTGCTGCGGAGGCTTGGCCGCACGGGGAGCCCGAGCCAGGCCGGCAGCCCGAGCCGGGCAGATGCCACCGGCCGGGAGTCGGAAGCGCTCTGCTGTCCAAGGCACGGCACCTACCCGAGAGGGCCCCGGGCTGGGAGGGGCTGCCTCCGGGGCACGAGCCCGCGCCCCTGCGCCCTCCACTTCGGCAGAGGAGGAAGAGGGCCGCGCTGCCGGCGCTGGGCCTCCCGCCCCTTCTCTGCCGCCCCCCCCCCCCCCGCAGCAGCAGCAGCACCTACTTCTGGATGGGGGGCAAGGCCATGACCGTGTCCCGCAGAGACTTTGTGCCGGACGGGAGCAGCCGCTCCTGCTCCGCCAGCTCCCTCGCCAGCTGCTTGTCGATGAAGTAGCAGACGGCGTCCCGGGCGCGCACGAACCGTGTCCAGCGCGGAGCCTCTGCCCTCGCCTGTGGGGAGGCAGAGGCACGACTGACTTGGGGCGCAGGCCAGCAGGCCCGCTGTCGGGGCAGTGCAGGGCCTGCGGGAGGCGGGGGCTGGCTTCCTCCCGAGGAGGTGCCCCGCGTTTAGAACGGGTCCCGGGGTGCGGGTGGCCCTGCATGGGACTTCGCAGCTGTGAGTGGTTTTTTGGCCGGCGTTGAGACACGAAGAGGAGAAGAGGGGGAGCGACATTCCCACGGGAATGGCTCGCAGTGCGTTGTCCAGGAAACGCTCCTCTGGCTGGCCAGGGGGGATGATGGGCCCCCATGTGAGGGCCCCCATGCTGCACTTTGCACCAGCCTCCAGCACGTTGGCCTACAGCTCCCGGCATCCCCAGCCAGCTGGGGGTCGCAGTCCAATGCAGTGGGGGGGCACTCGGTGGGGGGCGGGCTCGGCTGGGTCGCATCAGAGCGACAAGCTGGCAGGGGAGGCCGCTCCGGTGTGCCTGAGAGGCAGCCGCCCGCCAGCCCCGGGGCCACCGCAGGCCTCACCTCCCAGAATCGCTGCAAGGAGTCCTTCCTCTCCAGCGGCTCCTGAAGGTCGGCGCTTGCACCCTCGCCCTCGCCTGGCGGCTCCTGAGCGGAAAGGACAACATGCCGATGCGCCCCAAGCCCCCCCCACCCCAGGTCCTCAGCAGCGAGCCGGCCACTCACCTGGATCGGGGCCCCTGCAGAGGAGGCCCTTCAGGACAGGGGAGCAGGTCGTTTTCTCTCCTCGGCCCACCCCAAGGGCTCGGGGGACAGGAAGGCCCCCGAACCACGAGGGCCACCCTCAGCCAGGTGGCAGGCCAGGCGGCCCCAGGGGACAGGCGTTCGAGGAGCCACGAAGGAGCCCTGCGGGGCTGGATTTCCCACAGAACGCCTTGGGCGCCTGGCCGAAGGCCAGCCCCTCGGCCAGTGCCCCACTCCCGGCCCACGTCCCTCCAAGGGCACTGCGGCAGGACCTGCTTGCCTGCCCTTCCGCACGACCGCATGCCCTTGGCACGCACCGTGGCCTTTCCTGCCCGTCACCTTCTGGAGCAGGTCGAGACCGCCTGGGCCTCCCGCCTGAGTGCCAGTGGCGGCTCTCCCAGGCGCCTGGCGGCACAGCCCTTGCGGGCTGGTCACTGCTTTGCCAGCCCTTTTCAAGCGTCAGCAACAGAGAGCTGCACAAACGTTTTTGACCTTTTGAAAAGGGAAATCCTTGGCTGGGCCTGCACACATGTGCTCAGACACACAGCCGGACTGGGCGCCCCACCTGAGTGACATCCCGGGGTGTCTGGAGGCAAACCACGGCAGGTACCACCTTGCAGGGATCAGCCTGGGTTCACATGACACAACAACCCACGCCGACTCGCCTCCCGGGATGAGTTGTGGTGCCGTGCTGGCCCCGAGGAGTCCGGCCTGGCCTGCTGTTCTTTAGTGCAGGGGGGCTCAGGGTTGGGTGGAGAGGGGCTTTCTACACTCCTTGTGGGGCCAGGGCTGCCGGGGGTTCCACAGCCGGGCCAGAGCGGCTGGTGGCTCGAGCAGCCGGCTGTGCTTCTTCGCAGGATAGGCCATTCTGGCCCCGGCCCTCATTCTTCCCCGTCCCAGTCAGTAGCCATGCTGCAGCCTCATGACACCGATTCTTTCCCCTTTGCTGCCTGGCAGAGGACTCACCCTGACGTGGGATGAGGCCAAATGGGCCATCCAGCCCCAAATCCTGTTTCCTGCAATGGCAGCTAATCGTTCCAACAAGGAGCCCACAGGCAAGACGGGGTGTAGGTTTCCCCCCGTACGAGGCAGCAGGGTCAGAGGGGCCAAAGGGCCCGCGGGTCCAGCCCCTGCTGCGGCAGGACACCACTCCACTCAGATGCTTTCTGGGCATCTCTCCGGCGAGGGAGAGCCCGCAACTTCCCCAGCTAATCAGTTCCACTCTCGTACTGCTCTGACAGTCAGGGAATTCTTCCTGGTGTCAAGTCTAAAACTGGTCGCTTTTAACTCGAGTCCGTTATCCTGCACCCTGCACCCTGAGATGGACGGGAAGAGATTGTGTCCTGCCTCTTTGTAGCATCCCTGCAGGTACTTGCAGAGGGCTGTCACCTCACCCCCACCCCCCCCATCTTTGCTTCCTGAGGATAAGCACGCCCAGTTCTCCCAGTATCTCTTCAGGGGCTTTGCCGCCAGTCCCTCCACCATCTTTGCCACCCTCTTCTGTACCCTTTGTAACTTGCCTGCAGCTTAAAAACTCAGGTGCCCAGAACTGGACACAGGGCGCCAGGTGGCATCTGACTAGTGCTCTGAGGGCAGTGGAACTCGGACTTCACGCATTTCGGAAGTGACGCTTCTGTTAATGCCGCCCAAAATAGCGCTCGTCCCTTCTGCGGCTGCATCCCATGGTTGGCTCATAGTTAGCTTGTGATCGGCAAGAACCCCAAGATCCTTCTCGTGGCACAACCGCGGGAGCAAAGCATTGCTGGCAGGGGGTCCGGGTGGCCAAAGAGCCACCAGTGGGCACGATCCGGGCTTGCTGGTCAGGTCCCGCCAGGGCCTGCCACCCCCGGGGACTGCTGTGCCACGAGTGCCCAGGCACCACCGCCCTGCCCGGGAGCTCCCAGGGAAGTGGGTTTTCGTGGTCGTACCTCCGGGAATTGCTCCGAGGGGGAGGTCCGCTCGGCCTCCTCTTCAGCATCTGTGAGGTCACCCAGCTGCTCCTAATGGAAAAGGTGCGGCGCACCAGTAAGGACCTCCTCTGGCGAATGTTTCAGCCAGTGCCGTGACCGGCTTTGGCTGGTGGACCCGCGAGGAAGCATTTCTGCAGCATTACTTCCTTCTCTCTTGCTCTTCTCGCACTCACTTTGGCGTACCCCTCCCCAGGATGCCCTGCCCGCAACGCCCCCCCCCCCCCGAAATGACTCCCCCATTCACTCCATTCCTCCAGACTTCCGTGCAGCCACCGTGCCTCCTCACCAGGCTCTGCCGCTCTGGCCCTGAAGCCGCCGGCATTTGCGCAGAAGCACGGCTGCCTGCGCCCCCTCCACACGCCTGCGGATCTGGCGCTCCCAGGACCCCTTCCCTCCCCAGCACGGGGACCCAGGCACTTCTCCACCTTCATCTCCTTGGGAGGGGTGTCACCCAGCCGGATGCTCCCAGCTCCAGCTGGCCGCCCTCTGGCTTTTCCCCAAAGACAGACCTTTCATTAATTTCACAAAGGCTGGCTTTTAAAATGCGTATTTGCTTTAGGGTATTTCCATTGGTAACTGCTGCAATACACAAAATATTACTTGATCTGTACTTTGATCTTGATCTGTGGTGACTTCTTTTCTTTTATAACTTTTTTTTATAACTTCTTTTATATCACTTATATTTTTTATTTATTTTATATTATTAACTTTAATTTTATATTATTATTTTTGTATTGTATTGTATTTTATTGTGTTGTAAGCCGCCCCGAGGCTTCGGCAAGGGGCGGCATAGAAATGTTCTAATAATAATAATAATAATAATAATAATAATAATAATAATACTTTTGAATTCCCTGGAGAGCATTAATTCAAACTACTGGGTGAGCCTGGGGTCTGAGAAGCACAGGCATCCTCAGGAATGGGGCGGGGGGAGCCTGCGTCCCCCACGCAGCTAGCAGGTGGACTCACAGCATTTCCCTGCCGCCCCACCCTCACCTCCGGGGAGCTCTCGGCAGAATCCTTCCCTCCAGACAGGGCTCTAAGGCCCAGCAGGCTGTTCCTGTGCTCCTGCGGAAGGAAGCCTGCCGTCAGAGCCACGCCTTGCGCTCTGCGCCACGGGGGTTCCGCTGGCCTGCAAAAGGCTCGGGGGCCGCCTGGCCCGGCGGTCACGCCGGGGTCCGCTTGCCGTCCTCGGCTCGGGGGAGCCGGGCTGGGGCCAGAGCAGGGATCCGGGCAGAGCCCCCCGTGCCCCCGCGGCCCGGCGTGAGCTCCTCTGGGCTGGCAGAGGCCGTGGGTGGTTGCAAGCCAGGTGGGGAGAAGCCGGAGACTTCGCAGAGCAGAGGGGCCAAGCGGGGTGGCCCCGTGGCAAGCAGGCCGTGCCGTTTGCTGGAGCGGCCCTTCCGCAGCCGTCAGCGAAGCGAGCGGGCCAGCCCAGAGCCAGTGGGGGCCCCAAGAAAGCCCGCCTTCCTGAGGGGCTGGGGGTCAGAGCCCCTCACGATGCAGCCGCTGCTTGCAGTGGCAAAGGCCCGGCCTGCGGCTGGGGCGAGAGGCTCCCCGTCCGCGCCCCCGAGGAGAGAGCGATGAGCACCTGGAGCTCCCGCATCATTCCCTCCAGCCACCGCTGGCAGGTCTCGCGAAGGGCCTCCTTCGACTCGACCCCTTCCATCGGCCACGATTCCATCTCCTTGAAGAAATAGTCGTGCGGGTCTTGTATGCCCAGTTCCTGGATCAGATCCTTGATGGCCGCCCTGAGCAAAAGGGATGAAGGGGCAGCAGGATGCGGAGAAGCCCCCGATGCAAAGGCAAAGAAACCAGCAGGCGGAGGCCGTGTGTCCACACGAGCCAGCGCAGCCCGGGGGGGCCCTGACGGGGGCCCTGGATGGGGGACGCTCGGCACCAAGTGCCGCTCGCTCCTGCACCCGCTCGCTCCAGCACGGCCGCACGCGGTGCCTGTTCCAACGACCCCGAAGCAGCTGGAGGCAACGGTGGAGAGGCCCTCCCAGGACGCGACCTGGTGGCCTGCTCAGCGGGCAGAAGGCTCTGCCTTGGGATCCAGAGCGGGATTCCGCGTTGGGAAACGAGGAAGCGGCGGCACCGGAGGGGCTCGAGCAGAAGGAGATGACGCGGGGCCGGCCCTCCGCCCCCCCCCCCGTGGCGGTGGCTGGGGGAGTGCGGGCCCATCCTGCCAGGGGACTCCCAGCAAGCAGCCGTCAGCCGCTGCGTGCGCAGAAGCCCGGACTGAACCGGCTCCCCACCTCCCTCCCCACCGAGCAGCCTCCTCCTGGGCTGCTGGCGGCGCTCACCTGATGGGCTTGGGGGACTTCAGGTAGTAGGCCATCAGCTCCTCCATCAGCTCCTTGCTGTCCCTCTTCAGCCGCAGGAGGGCCCGCAGGGCAGCCAGGACGAACCGCCGCTCGGACTTGTCCTGGGAGGTGGAGCGGAGGCGGGTGACCAGCCGCCTGCACAGCCCACGGGGCCTGCGCTGCCGGAGGGCCCTCTCCACACAGGGTCCCCCAGCCCTGCCGCAGCACGCACCGCCCCCGAGCCAGGAGCCAGGAGCCCCCCCGGAGACACTGTGGCCCCTGCGGGCCAGGGGCGTGCGAGGCAGCCCGCAGCAGGTGCGGCAGGCGGCCGGGCTCTCTGGGAAAGGCACCCGGCCCGCAAGGACCTCCTGGCCTTCCCACAAGTGTCCCGGAGGTGCCATGGAAGGTCAAGGCGCCCTGTGGCCCCGCACTCCACCGCCAGCTTGTCTGGGGCTGCCGCAGCTTGGATCCTCCTCCAGTGTTGTGGGATCCCGTCTCGATCGCTGCCGGCAGTCCCTTCTGGGGCCTGGCAGCACCTTGGCCAGCTGGCCTGCCCATCGGAGCGCGCGGCCCCAAAGACTCAGCCGGAGGCCCAGCACGTGTGGATGTGCGCATTTGGTGCAGCCGCTCCACTGCGGGGATCTGCGGCCTGCGCTGCTGTCGGAAAGGCGCCATCATGGGCGGCTCTCCAGGACGCTGCCAGGGCACTCCGAAGGGGCCGCCCAGAGCGGTCGAAATGCAGATCCTGCCGTCCCAGCCGGGGCCGCCTTTCGCAGCCCCTTAAAAGAGCAACATGAAGCAGAAGAGAGACCAGGACAGCCAAGGAGCTCCTGCTCGCTCCTCCCATGGGGCCCCCGGGATGCCTGGGGCCCAACGGCACATGCTGAGCTCAGTCGTCTGCTGGGCGCTGCCGGTGGCCGTTCTGCGCTCAACCAGCCCCGCAGGGCCTGCCGACGGGGAGGGCGGAGCGGCACGGAAATCTCCTCTGGGAAAGATTGCACTGCGAATGGCAGCGCGTCCCAGTGGGGAAAGGCACACGGGAGACGCCCCGACAGCCACTTCCCCAGTCCAGCAGGGGCTCCTCTGTGGTGACCCCCCTGTGGGTGAGCCGGGCCCGTTCTCCCTCACCGAGCGCGGCAGGGAGCCCCACAGGCCTCCCGCGGGAGACGCTGGCCAAGCAGCGGCGCTCCCCAGTGGAGGCGAAGCCCACGCGGCGCTCACCAGAACGGACAGGCCCTCGCCCCGCCGGTTCAGGAGGTAGATCAGGGTGTCGTGCACGGCGGCCCTCGTCTCCTCCTCCAGCCGGTCCCTCACGCTCACGACGAAACCCAGCAGCGCCACGTTGGTGCCGGCGTCGGCTGTGAGCATGGCAGCCAGGAGCTTGCCCACGACCTCGCGCAGGCTCAGCTCCGGGGGGAGACCCTGCGGGGGAACCGCGGCTGAGGGCGCCCCGAGGCGGACCCAACTCCGAGAGGCAACAGAAGGCGGCTGGCAGATCAGCTGCGCCTCCCGCAGGAGGCCCCCCCTTGCTCGAGGCCGGGCCGGGCGGCCCAGCCCAAGCCCTCTTCCCGCACATGCCCACCCTTCTGCTTTTGCTGGCTCTGGGCACGTCCCCCGCAGCTTCCTCTATCCCATCAGCCCCGCCTGGACACCCGGCGAGGGAGACACAGGGAGGGGAGTGCATGGAGAGGGAGGAGGCCGGGTGGCCCAGCCACGCCCCAGCCCCCCCTTGCCCCCCAGCCTGCGGGGACACAGCGGGGCGCCCCCACCTCTGGGAAAAGCGTCTGGAGGCACTCCGGGTCCAGGAGCGACCAGGGGAGCGACGGCTCCGGCTCCGGCTCCGGGTACTGGGACTCGTCCAGCTGCGTCAGGAAAACCTCCGGCAGGCTCTGGAACAGAGGGGGGGCCACTGGGACACGCTCTGGCCTGCAGTGCCCACCGGAGGCCGCGAGGAGGCGCTCCGCCAGCCCTTGCAGTCCGCTGGCTGCCCCCGGGGCCCCGCAGACTGCCACTTCCCCTGGCCGTCTCGGGACCGCAGCCACAGGGCAGCACAGACCGCCCCCCAATGGCCCCACGGCGTGGCAGGGCCGCTGCTCACCGTCTTGCTGCTGGGCGTGGAAATGCCAGCCACGGGCACCTCATCCTCCTCTTCCTCCTCCTCTTCAGGCGCAACATCACTGCCCGGCCCCCAGAGGGCGCCGATTCCTGGGGGGCTCGCCGGCTCCTGGCAGTGCAGAAGGGGAGAGGCAGCCCTGGGGAGCATCCCGGGGCAGCCGGCCAGGCCGCCTCCCCGCACAGGCACCCAGCCCCTTTACCCGCAATGCCCCGGCGTCCAACGGCTGCGCCAGGCACGGGACGGCCGCCTGCCCTCTCCTCCTCGCCTGTTCAGGCAGGCTGCCTGCTCCCATTGACGTTACTGGAAGCGCCACACGGATGCTTTTCCCGCCCGCCACAACCCGCCTGCCCGATTGTGCCAATTCCTGTGGCAAAGCTGGGGCGCAGGAGGGAGGCTCCCGCACCCCCAGGCAGGTTTGCTGCGTGAGCCAGGAGGCCCCCCTCCCGGCACCGAGCCCACTCCGGCGTGGACAAAGGCGTGACAAAGGCTTCCGGGCAGCCCTGTGGCTCCAGCACTCCGCACACGCAGAGATGCCCCCTAGTTCACTGGGAGGACGGGAAGCGCTGGGATCCCGGCAGGCCCAGTGAGGGAGATCCAGCAGGCGGAAGGAGCGGGCCGGGGACTCCGCCCCGAGGAGACCTGCACCGCCCGGCCGTGTTCGTCTCCTGGCTGAGGCCGGCTTGGCCAGCGTGGGCCGCAAGCGCAGGTCGGAGCCCTGCGGAGACACGGAGAGCGGCCGGAGCAGCGAGCGTCCACCCTCCAGGAACAAGAGGCGGCGAAGAGGTTTCAGGCAACAGGCAACAATGGGGAGCATCGCGGAAGGGAGAAGTTCAAAGGGTCCCTTTGGACCAGGAATACAAGAGGAGGAGCTTAGTAGCCCCACTGAACGCATCCGGCTTAATTTAAAGGGAGCAAAAAACAAGAAAAACATAGTTCTTGGCATCAAACACGAGCGTCCAGAAAGTCAACTTTAACAAACTCGGAACAATTATGAGTGAGGTGCCATGGCAACTCACTCTTGAAGGAAAAGGAGTCCAAGAGGGGTGGGAAATTTTGAAAAAGACAATTCTCCAAGCACAACTATGAACAATTCCAAAAAGAAAAAAGCGTAGAAGCCGTTCCCCTATACACCTCACTAGTCAGAGGTCATCTGGACTGTGTCCAGTTCTGGGCACCGAGATTCAAGAAAGATGCAGAAAAATCAGAAAGGGCCCAGAGGAGGGCAAGAAAAAGGATGCAGGGTGTGGAGACACTGCCCAAGAGGAGAGGCTGAGAGGATTGGCATGTCCAGCCTTGGGAAGACTGAAGGGGGATGCTATATCCCTCTAGAAGTACCTCCAAGGCAGAAACATCATGATCCAGAAGGAGCTTCCCGGGCCATCCGGTATGATCGCTCCCTCAAGATCTCTCCTCACTGATACCAGAATTCAGGGCACGGAATACTCAATTCCAGATGCGACAACCCAGATTCAGGCTGGACATCGGGAAAAGCTTCCTCCTGGTCAGAGCAATGGGGCAGTGGGACCAGCAGCCCGGAGAGGGGGGGCTCTCCCACACTGGAGGCATCCAAAAGGAAACTGGGCAGCCCCGGGTGGGGTGGGGTGACTGGTGTCCGGCACCAGCAGTGGGGTGGTCCTGAGGGCCTCCGGGCCCCTTCCGACTGGCACTCCGTGAGATGCTGAGCTCAATGCAGAAGCAAGAAAGGAAAGCCCATCGGCCCGGGAAGAGCCGGTGGGCTGCCCCCAGCTGCCCCCGCCTCATCCGTCCACGCGGCTTGGACAGCAGGGGCAACACAGGAGACGGCCAGGGGGCCTGCAGCGAGGGGGCTGCAGGTCCACAGCCGGGCCACCCGCACTCCCAGCCCCGCCTCACCTCCTGGGGGCCGATCACCCGCATGACCCTCTCCTCCTTCGGCAGATCCTCCTGGCTGTGCAGCGGCTCGACGACCACCGAGAGCCCGGACAAGGCCTCCTCCCGGCTCTCTGGCTGTGGGCAGCACAGGAAGGGCAGTGGCTCAGAGCGCGGCCCCTCTGCCCCTTCCCCGAGGGGCCAGCGGGGGCCTCCTCCCGCGCACACTCCCCCAGCAGCGCTCGCCCTGCGCTCAAGAGGCAGGCAGCCCCCTGCACCCCCGGGAGGCCATGTGCTGCCCCCCCAAACGCCCCGCTCGCTCGCTCGGCCCTCACCCTCTGCAGCTTGGGCCACTTCTTGGACAGCAGCTGCCTCTCCGGGAAGAAGCCCTTGATGATGGCGGAGGGCACCTGGCTCCGTGGCCCCAGGGAAGCGCCGGCGGGCTGGTCGGCCTCCTGGCTCCCACTCACGCAGGGGAGCTTTGGGAAAGCCACGCTCTAGGCACACGCCAGCCAGGGTGAATACCGGATGGGGCTCCGGATGAGCCCCTCCCCTCCTGCCCCCCAGGCAGGGCCCCCGCCCCTGCACAAACCTCCTGCCTCTCGGCCAAGCCCCCTTTGGGAAGGAAGCCAGCCGCCCGGCCGCTTTTACGATATCGCGGAAGGGGGCAGCAAGAGAGGCTGCAGGGGGGCAGAGCGGCTCACGCTGTGGCGGAGAGGGGGCAAGTGGCCCCCAGGAGCCCCGGCACCCGGCCGGGGCCTCGCAGTTTGTCGGCAACAGCCAAGCCGCGGTGTCTTACTGCCAAGGTGGGTCGGCGCGACATGCCAAGTGCCCGCCAAGAAGCACGCAACCCCCCGGCTTCTTTCTCCCCGGCCGGCCGCAGAATTCTGCACCCGCCTCTCCCCCCACCCAGCGCACAATTCCTCGGGCCGCACGGCCCTCAGGGCGACCGGCGGAGCGCCGAAGGAGGGCGATGCGACGGGAGCATGGGGAGCGCGGCTGCAGCCGCTCTGGGCAGCTGCTGGCCCTCTTACCTTCGTGCTCTTGGCCGAGCCCAAGGCGGGACTGGCAGCCAGGGGCGCGGGGGGCAGGGGCGAGGGCGAGGCTGGCGGGGGCCCTTCGTCCTGCTCCATCAGGTCCACGTCCACGTACATCTAATGCACAGAGAAGGCAGCCCTTGGGGCGCTCCGGCAGCAGGTCGGCCTGGCGCCTCCACTCCCCCTGCTCGGGCCGCGCGTGCCCCGCAGCTGCTCCTTGGCCCCACATCAAGGGGCACAGGCCTTCCAGCGGGGGAGGGAGCAGCCCTGCACGGGCTCCCCAGACACAGGTCGAAGGGGCCGGGCAGCTGAGGCTCTCTGCTCGGCACCTCGCTTGCGTCTCCGGGCAGCTCAGCCTTGGGGTGGCTTGCCAGGCCGCCGGCCGCCTGCTCTCCTGGGCTCCCGCCGGGAGTCCTCTTGCCAAGGGCCTCCGCGGGGGCCGCCCACACTCCTGGCGCGGCCCCAGCAGGCAGCCCGAGCCCCTCAAGTGGAGTCTTGGATGCAGGCATGCGGCCGGAGGGGGCACCGAACGTGCCGCGCCGGATCCCTTTTGCCACTAAACACAGACCGAATGTGTTGCATGCCCGGAAAACGGCATTTCCCCAAACTGGACTAGCAAAGATGCCGGGAAAGGGAGAAGCCACACTGATGCGCTAGCCTCTCGATTAAGCCCCGAGGTCGCGCTTGAGGTTCCCTGTGGGAGGCAGGCAGGTGCCAGGCCTACCAATCCGCCTTTCTCACATTTCCTCTGAAGCGCAACTCTTCGGCACCGGACCACACCGGCCCGGGAGCCGAGCCGAGCCGTGCTGCTCTCGGCTGCCGTCCAGGCCGTCTCCGTGTCTGAACGTAGCACTGCACGCAAAGGGCCTCGCCAGCCACAGGCCTCAACTGCGGCTGCTAACAGTGGTAAACCACGCGTGGCACCCACGTGTTGCCGTGGGTGCCGGGGCTCGGCTTCCGTGAACCGTGCCCCGTGCCCGGCTTGCCGGCCCCCTGCAGCGGCGTGTCCAGCGAGAGCAGTGGGAGCGCGGAGCTGCCCTGGAGGGGCTGCGGAGAGGACGGGTGAGGCGAGCGGCAAGCGGGGCCCAGGCAGCCTTCCTGCCCCTGCGGCAGGCGGCGCTCGTCTCGCTCGCTCCTGGGGAGCCACGTGGAAGCGAGCGACTGAGTGTGGAGAACGGGGGCTGCGCTCTATGCGGCTTTCAACCCGCCCGTTCACTGAAGTGCCTCTTTCCGGCAGAAGAGGAGAGTCCCTGGAGAAGAGCGTGTGGAAGCTGCCGACTGAGCCGCCCACCACGGAGCAGTGGGAGGCGGACGCCCCAGGCCCCCTGGAGAGCCTTCCTGGTCCGGTCGCGAGCGCAGGGGGGCCGTCCCAGCTCCCGCCGCGTTCCTGGGGGAGACGGCGCCTTCCTGCAGCCCCGGCGGGCGAAGCACCCACTCAGTCACTCGGGGACCCGCATGCCCCGCCGGCACCCCCACAGGCCCAGGGCTCACCTTCTGCCCGGGGATCCCGACGCGCACCTGTGCGGGCACCCTGGCGGCGAGCCGGAGACCCCTGGACACACCCCTCAGCGTGGGGGGCTCCTTCTGTGCTTCGTCGGGGGCAGGAGCAGGAGCAGAGGAGGACGGGGCTGCCACCACAGGGGGGCTCCACGGGGGCAGCGGGGGCGCCATGCTCTCTCTCGGGGACGGCTCCTCGGCCTGTTCCGGCAGGGGCAGTAAGCACAGGAAACGCCGAGGGCGCCCTCAGGGCCTCTCGCCATGACCCCCCCCACCTACGCCCCACGAGGCCTCACCTGCTCCCCAGGGCCCCTCCTCGTGGGGGAAAGGGCCAGCCTGATCCGGGAGACGGCCAGCACGGCTGAGCGGGCCTTGAGCCAGGAGGAGGAAAGGGAGTCCGGGAGGGCTGCTGCGCTGTCCTCCTGCGGAGGGCACAAGAGGGCAAGCTGGCCGGGCGAGCCCCACGCCCAAGAGCCCGGGCCGGGCCTGCGCGGCGCTCGGGCACAGTGCTCCGGCCCGGGTGCTCGGGGCCTGCCTAGCGCCAGCTGCTCTGGCCAGCCTCCCGCGTGCCCCCGCAGACCGAGGCGCTGTGGGTGCGGCCACGTCCATCGAGAGGCACTGGGCCGGCCGGAGGGGCTCGAGGAAGCCAGCAGGCGGCGGCGAGCAGGTCCACAGGATGGCTGGGTGGAAGCGGGGATCCGGTTACCGGCAGGAGCTGGTCGGCAGACTTCAGGGCTGAGGGCTTCCCGAAGCAGCCCAGGAACACGTTGTGCTGGTGGGGGCCGTAGAGCTCGGACACGGAGCCGGCCTGGCGCAGGGCCGCCAGCACCTCGTCCGCATCGAAGGTGTCCTCCCTGGGGATCTGGGCAGGGAAACGCGGGCAGGGAGGCTCAGGCGGAGTCCTAGTTCACCTGTTTACTTCAATTTATACCGCCCGATGAGCCGGGCTCTCTGGGCTGTTTGCAAGTCGAAGCACACAAACAGCAGAACTTCAGGTAAGACAAGAAAACCACGGCAACTGCGGCCAAATCAGCACAAGGCGCAGAAGCCGTTCCGGGTGAAATGCGATCTTAAAACTAAAGTTAAAAGTTTAACCGTTACAAATACCAGGAAAATAAACATGTTTTCACCGGACGCTGAAAGGAATATGGAGTAGGAGTAAGACGCACTTCTTTGGGGGGGCTCAATGCCTGACTGCCTTTGCAGGGGGCTCTGGGAAGAAGACCCCTAGAAGGGCTCAGGGTCTGGGTGGGTACATGTGGGACGAGGCATTTCCCCCGGAGCCAGTCCCACGAGCAGCCCTGCTGCCCGGCCCTGGCGCAGCTGACCTCCGGGACCGCCTTCGCGGCCGCCCCACGTGCAGCACGGGGCAGCCATCCAGGGAGCAGCTGCCGGAGCAGGGAAGCCCGTGGCTGGACTCTTGGTCCCGGGAGGGCCATCGCCGGGGCACCAGATGAGCGGCCAGGAGGGGCCCCCACCACGGAGCCCCTTGCGCCTCCACTGGCCTCTCGGGATCCAGGAGCCCCCCGAGACAAACCTCGCCCTGGGGAGCGTGCGACCGCCTCCTGAACAGCCTTGTCCGGACCGGGTCCGCTTGCTGGCCCTCCTCCGGCCCAGCGCCTGCTCAGGCCAATTCAGAGGGGCCACTGGGAGGTGGAGCTGAGCTTCACCTGCATAGTGAAGGCACCTCCGCAGCCTTCGAGTGGATGTGGGGGGGGGGGCAAAAGAGTGCCCTGCAGCACTGCCAGAGCAGGGAGAGGCCACCCCCCAGCGCCACCCTCTGGAGTCGGCCGCTTGCGTGGGCCGTGCCCCCCACTCTGCTCCTGGCCCTGCTGCAGCCAAGGCTGCCGAGAACGCCAGAGGTCCCGGGGCGGCTCTCCCACCTTTGCCCAGGCGAGGCCCTCCCACAGGGCAAGCAGGGCCGTCCCCACTCCGGGGCCAGGCCCAGGCCGGACTGCAGTGCATCGAGGGTCACTTTCCCCCAGGGGAGCCGGGCGCTGTGCGGCCCCCACCCGCTCGAGCCCCTGGCCCAGGAGCGGCAAACTGGCCGCGGGACTGGAGTGGCCGGCACCCTCTGGGTCCGGGGACAGCTCTTCTAGAAGCTGCTCAACCGCAGCCGCCTTGAGCGAGGCTGGCACCCCCCCCCCCGTGCAACTCCCCCCGTAGTTCTCGCAAGGGTCGAGCCGGGCTTGAGGGGGCACCTTGACGTGCAACGTGGCAGCGCTCTCGCGGGGCGGGGCTGGCCCAGTCCTCTCCCAGGGGTGCCTTCTGACCCACGGGAGCGTCTCTGAAGGGAGGGAGGGAGGGAGGGAGGGAGGGGTGGAGCGGAAACCTGCCGGTGCCCAGGCCATCCTGAGCCAGGGCGGTTGCGAGGGCCCAGGACGCCGCCGGCCGAGAGAGGCTCTTCCCCACGGGGAGCGTCCCTTGCAGCCCCCCCTTTCCCGGGCGGCCGCGGTGCACAGTACAGGTGGCGGATCGGAGAGAGCGGAGGCGGAACACCGTCGAGGGGCCGCTCGCAACCCTCCCAGGGAGCCCACAGGCGAGTGGCCCAGGAGACCCCCTGCCCCCGGGAAGCCCACGCCATCACCCTGTGCTCTCCAGGGGCCGGCAGCAGAAGGAGCCGGGCCGGGAAAAGGGGCCGGAAAGGCGGTGGGACGCCTTCCATGGCCGCAACGTAGCCGGCCCCCTTTGCCCCAGACCCTGCCGGTCCTCTGGAGGGTGGAGCTCTCCCCACCTCACCCGGCCCCCCTGTGCCCTTCCCAGCCTCACCTGAGGACGGTGGGGCTTCTTGTAAAATATCTCCAGGTATTTCTCGAAGGCCTCCTCCTTCATTTTCTTGCTAACGCGCACTTTCTTGGCTGCGCCGAGTCTCCCCTTCTGGAGGAGCTGCAGGTCCTCGTTGTTCTTGACCAGCTGGGCAAACCCCTGCGAGGGCGGTGGGGCTCAGGCCGCGTCCCCCCGGGGGCCTCCCCGCCAGCGCTGTTTGCACCCACCGGGCTCTGCGGTTTCCCACAGGCAGGTGGTGGAGCCCCCCACCCTCTTCCAAGGAGTGCCATTTTCCCCCTCAACTTGTCCTGATAGCAGCAGCGAGAGGACCTCCCCCGCTCTCCTCCAGAGCCCCCCACCCCCCGCGAGCGCAGCACGGGGCGCCCAGGGGTCGCTTCCAAAGGGCACGGGCGAGGGCAGCACGTGCCGTGCCAGCCTTGGCGACAGGGACGGCGCCACCCCAAGTTCATCGATTCCTTCGTCCTTTCTCGCGTGCACGTTTATCCCACGGTGGCCCAGGTGGCCCGCGGCCCCCCTTGCGTCGGCCATGCTTGCCTTGTCAGAGATGCTGCTGGTCCGTTCCGGCTTGTGCACGTCCCCCTGGAGAGCTGCGGGCAGAGGGGACCTGTGGGGACAGACAACACAAGCGGGAAAGCAGGCTCCCCCGCCGCCACCCACCACCTGCCCGCTCGCCCTGTCCTCAGAGCCCCGGCTGCCGTGGCCCGAGCCATCCCTGCCCCCCCACCGGCTGGAGAGGCCCGCCCACCTCTGCCCTGATGCCATGTGCCGAGGGCTCCCCCCACTCTGCTGTGGGGAAGGCGAGGGGGGGAAGCCAAGGCAGCCTCCCTCCCGTGCCCGTGCCGGAACCACAGACTCGGGGGCCGCTCTGGGCAGCACCGCTGCCACTCGGCTGCCTCCCGGCACGTCCGTGCCGCCCACCTTCTTTCTCCAGAGCGTCTCTCACATGCAGCAGAGTCGCTCATAGCAAAAACCTGTCAGTGGAGCCAACAGGGGAGCCCCGGCCTCCCCAGGGCTGCTGGCAGCGCGCCCCCCGCCCCGCTGGATCTCCTGCTGCAGCTCCTTTATCTCATCGCTTCCTGTTCCCTCTGGCCCTCAGTCAGTTCCTGTTCCTGCGGGGGAAGGGGAGCCACCCGCTTCACGGGCGGCAGCGGAGGGCCCCTTGCTCTTCAGTCCCGCATGTAGCGCTTTGGCAGCATTGCCGGTGCCGCTAGAAGCCCACGGCACGGAGAGCATCCCCACCGGCAGCACGCGGCTCAGGGCGCCCGGCCGTCGGTGCCTGGCAGAAGCGGAGGGGGGGGCTCCTCGTCCAAAGAGGAAACGGCAGGCGCCTCCCCGGTGAGGCCGACGAAGCGCTGCCCCCCAGACGGGCCACGCACCTGCCGCACAAAGTCTGCCTGGGAGCCCCCCCCCACTGCCCCTCGAGAGAGTTGAGGCAGCAGCCCTGTGCGTGGGGAACGCACCCCTCGCGTGCCCCTGGCTCGTGCCCGAGCGCCTGGGCTCCTCAGCTTACTCGGCGCCCTCCAGCGGTGGCTCCTCCTTCAGGCGCCGGACGTTCTCGCGGACGAGACGCTCGAAGCAGGCGGCGCTGACGGGCAGCGGCACGTCCTGCAGGGGCTCCAGGAACGTGGCGCACAGCAGCTGCAATGCACGGAGCAGCGGGGTCCCTGCGAGGGCCGCCAGAGGTCGCCCGGCCCGAGGGCTCCCAGCCACACGGCCCCCGCCGCTTGCCGGGAGCAGCATGGGCTGGGTGGGCGCCCGTGCCCGGGGGCCCCGGGGGGGGCGGCCGTCCCCACCTTCATCTTGTAGTAGCTGGGCAAGTACTTGCTGTGGTGGATGAGGTACAGGTGCCGCTCGATGCCAACCAGCAGGTCCCCCCGGGGGTTGGCGAAGGCCAGGCTCTCCGGGATGGAGTTCAGCTTCAGGTGCCTGCCGTGGGGGGGGCGGGGGGGGAGCTCTGTGCCACGCCAGCTGTCCTGCAAGCGTGGCCGCGGCCACACAGCTCTGCCCTTGGAGGAGAAGGCCCGGGCGGCCGAGGGCAGGCAGGCTGAGATGCGCAGGTGCGGGGCCTGAGCAGGGAGCTGAGCTGGGGGGGGGGGCGGCGCTGCGCTGGCCAAAGGGGCCAAAGGGGCGGGGGGCGGCTCCACAGGCATGCCTGTGCGGCTCAGAAGAGCAGGACAGGCTGAGGCCTCGGGAGAGAGCGTGCCCACACTGGGAGGACCAGCCCTGGCTGAGCAGAAGGCCGAGCAGCCGCCCACGGCCACCCTGAGAGGGAACCCTGAGGGCCCGCGAGCAGCATCTGAGCCCGGGTGGCCAGCAGCACCATCGTGCAGAAGTGGGTCCTGCTGACTCCAGTGGGGCTCGCTGACCCCAGCCCTAAGCGGAAGCCACACAGACTCACAGGACAGCAGAGCTGGAAGGGGCCAGAAGGCCATCTGGTCCCACCCACTGCTCTTGCAGGACACCAAGTCACACCGTCCCACTCAGAGGGCTGCCCAGTTCTGTCTTGAACGCCTCCAGTGTGGGAGAGCCCCCCACCTCTCCAGGCAGCTGGTTCCCCTGCCGTATTGCTCTGACTGTGTGGATGCTTTTCCAGATGTGCAGGGACGAGGGCCGCTGCCAAGGGGCGGCAGAGCAGAACCATGCCCCTGGCCCCGAACGGGGCATCCCTAGACCAGGCCAGCCCCCCAGAGCTGCTGTCACCTGCGCGAAACACAGGGGCCCACCCATCGCTCACCGGAGCAGCCTGTTCCTGGCGTCCCAGATCTTCACGGAGCCGTCCCTGCTGGCCGAGGCGAAGAGCTTCAGGTTGGGGCAGTGGCAGAGGCCTGGGGAGGCGGCAGCTGTGAGAACCCAAGCCGGCCCGGCCCGGCCCGGCCCGGCCCCTCCCGGCCGGCCGGCGGCTCATGCGCACCTGTGATGCTGTCCTGTGCGTCGTCCTCGGGGCTGTGCTCCATGCGCGTCTGCCGCACCAGGTTGTAGAAGACGACGCTGTAGGTGACGGTCTCGGGGTCCTGGAAGGCCACGGCCAGCGTCTCGCCCAGGGCGCACACGTGCGTGGCGGGGCAGGAGCAGGAGAAGCACAGGAGCGGGAGCAGGCACTCCTCGGCGTAGGGGAAGAGGCGCCACATCTTCACCGTGAGGTCGGCACCTGGGCCGGGGGCAAGGGCAGGCGCGGCGCTGGCACGAGGCGGCCCGCCTGGGAGGACACGCCATCCTCCAGCGCCGGCCCGGCCCCTGCGCTCCTCGTGCTCTGCAGACGCTTCGCCCGTTCCCACAGGCGCCTGTTAACCCCGTGGAAGGACCCGGGCTCTTCCCCTCCGCCCGCCCCCTGGCTCTGCAGGAGACGCCGGGAGCCGGCTGGCCCGCGCAGGCCGCTCTCCTGCCTCTCCTCTGCCCCGGAGGAAAGCCAGGAGGCAACGCCAGAGGGAGTGACGGGCAGCCGCCCTCCGGGCCCAGCTCTGCCCAGATGAGTTGGGGGGGCGCACTCGAACAGCGAGGCGTCCGCGTGCAGGGAGGGTGCCTCACCCCACAAACCCAGTTCCACACGGGCTGGGAGGCGGCTGGGGAACAGTTGAAGCCGGCAGGGAGGGGAAGTGCCCCCCTTGCGGCCCCAGCAGGGCAATCCATCCCTCCATGGGCAGTGTGAGGCTCCCCTCCGTCCTCCCCGTGGGCTCAGCGAGGGCCCACGACCCCCCAGCTGGCCCCCGCGGCTCCCGAGAATGAGAATGTGTCCCAAGAGGCAGATGCGCGCAGCGGGGACTCACCGGCCGAGATGACGCAGGTCTGCGTAGGGTATTCCGCCAGCGCCGTGACGGGCATGGGGCCGTGCGCCGCCACCGTGTACTGGACGCGGCCGGAGAACCACTCCACCACGCTGAGGAAGCCACTCTGGTGCCCCAGGATGACCAGGTACCTGGCGGGAGAGCCGGGCTGGCAGATGGGAAGGGCTCCGCACGCACGTGTGGCAGAGCCATGGGCTTTGGGCCCGCTCCTCGCACAGGCCGGTGGGCACCCGGCCTGCAATCCGGCCGGAGCTGCCCCGGCACAGGCCGCGCGCAAGGGCGCAAGCAGCCGGGGGCCGCAGCGAGCGGGCTCGGCGGGGCCCCCGCACCTGTTCTTATCCTGCATCGGGAGCGGGAGCTTCTGCCAGGGCTTCCGGAGACCCTTGCTCTCGGCCACCCGGAGCCAGGTGCTGTGGGCGGCCGCCGCGTCCACGGTGTGGCTGTAGAGGAGGAGGCAGCCGGGCCGCGAGTCCCAGGCGCCGGCGAGCGTGCTCTTCTTGACGGCCATGGGGTCCACGGCCGCGTTGACGCGCAGCAGGTCGCCCCGCTCCGTCAGCACGAAGAGGGTCTCCAGCGGCAGGCAGTAGTCCACCTCGTGGGCCTGGCCGGGCCGCTCCAGGGCGAGCGTGGAGCAGGGGCGGCCACTCTCGGCCTCCAGCAGCCGCACCGAGCCGTCGCGGCACACGCACAGGACGCGCACGGGGAAGTCGCCCAGCGCCCGCAGGTCGACGCAGCGCAGCCGCACGGCGGGGGAGCCCAGGGGCGTGTGCAGGCAGTAGAGCTTGCTGATCTTCCAGAAGTTCAGCGAGGGGCCCGAGAGGGAGATGACGAGCGAGGCGCTCTGCGTCTCCAGGGCCTCCACCGGCTCCGCCACGTGCACCTGGTCCACCTGGTCGACGGTGTTGAGGTTCCAGGTGCGAATGGTGCCATCTTGGGAGGCGGAGAAGAGGAGGGGCCGCTGCGGGTAGGCGGTCACGGCCACCACCGGAGCTGGGGGCACATGGGGGGGGGCGGTCAGGTGCCTGAGCACAGGCGAAGGGCCTCTCGCTGCGGAGGAGGGGAGGGTGCCTGCGCTCCGGGGAGGAACACCCCTCGGCCCCCCGCTGCCTGCCCTGCCCCACTCGGACGCCCACCTGAGCGCCGAGACAGGCGAGAGCGCAGAGGCCCGGGCGAAGCCGGGGCGCCCGAGGGCCGCTCCCTCCCACACGCAGTGGCGCTGCAACAGGCAGAGATTTGGGTGTCTTTCCAAGCTCCACCTGCTGAAATTCCACCAGGCACGCAGGCATCCCCTGCGGGGAAAGGGCCAGCTGGGGCGGTGGCTGGTTGCTCCCCGTGATTAAGTGTTTTCCCTGCAAGGGGGCAGGAAGGGAAGGGGCCCTGCCCACGCCGGCCCCCGCTGCAGGCACATCCCAGTGTGGGTGCTGTGGCCGCCCCCTCGCCCTCCGGGGGGGGCGGCCCCCGCTCACCAGTGTGGCCCACGAAAACCGTCTGGACGTGCCAGTCCTCGTCCCAGGCCTTGATGGTCGTGTCCCGGGAGGCCGTCACGGCAGAGCCGATGGCTTCGCAGTAGGTGATGTCCGTGATCGCCCTGGCAAACAGCGGAGACCTCTGCAGCCCGCCACAGGCCCGGCCCCTCACAGTGGCTGGGGGCCCACCGGAGCCCACGTTACGTGGCGGCTTCCCACTCCCAACCCGGCAGCCTGCTGTCTCCGCCACGCAGCTCGAGAGCCCCCGCTGGCACTGGGCGAAAAGCCCGGGCAGCCGCCGGGACGGTCCATGCTGCGCACGCGCCCGGAGCAGGCCCACTGCGGTGACCCTATGCAGGCCTGTGCAGCCCGAGCCAGCAGCACGGCTGCGGAGGGGGCTGTTCCTCCAGGCCCTGGGGAGCCCGTGCAGACAGAACCGCAGGCCCACCCAGCCGCCCGTCCCGCACAGCACACTCCACCGGAGACCCCCCCGGGAGTCCCGCGCCACGTCCATCTTCCTTCTCACCACCAAAGATCCGCTTTGTGGAGGAAGGGCCCAGGGCGGCCTCCACGCTGCCCTCCGCCATCCGGAGAGGGGTGCCGCTTCAGCCCCCTAGAGAGACTCACCAGGCCGCCGGCTGGTTCTGCGGCCACCACAGGTGTGTGCAGCGGGAGGGACGTGCCGGGCACACGTTTTTAAAGCAGTGCAGGGAAAGCGACTTGGGCGGCCCCGAGATGGGGGCTTGGGCTGGAGCCCGCACCGAGCAGGGCCTGCCCACCTCCCAGCTCCCCTCTCCGGGGACTGTGCTGGGCGCCAGGCAGCCCCGTTCCGCAAGCCCGGTGTGGCCGCAGAGGGGCCGTGCGGGGGCCTTTCCCGTGGGAATTCGGGGGCGGCACTGCAGAGCAGCGCAGAGCTGCGGCTGCCCCGGCCCTTCCCGGCCGAGACGCCCTGCCCCGCTCCACAGGGACGTCCCCTGAGCGCGCCCGGTTCTCCGGTTCTCCCCACGCCTCGCGGGGAGCCTCACCGGCTGTGGAGCTCCTTCTGGAAGGAGAGGAGCTTCCCCGCGGAGAGGTCAAAGGCTGCCGCGCCGGAGTCGCAGCAGGCGAAGCAGCGCTGGGGCGCCGCGCTGCCCGCGTCCAGGGCGAGGTGGCTGAAGACGTCCTGGGGCGACAGGCCCTCGCACACGGCGGCACGGCACTGCAGGCTCCGGGCGCCGTAGCGGAAGTCCCAGAGGGTCAGGTTCCCCGGCCCGGCCGTCACGACCCGGTTCAGCCGCTCGCTGTAGGCGCCACAGCGGATGGGCTGCGCGGACTGCACCCGGGAGAGCGGCCGGAGGCCCCCGTCCAGCACCTGCAGCGCCCACTCCCCCCAGGCCACGAAGCGGTCCACCTGGGCCGCGTACAGGAGCCCCGTCGCGGGGGCGGGCGCCTGCCGGCAGCCCCGGTAGGTGCCGTCCTCCTGCAGGAAGTGCAGTGTGCTTGCCGCGTCCAGCGCCACGAGCGTGCGCGCGAGTGGCTGGTGGGCCACGTGGCGCACGGGGCTGGGGAGGACCACGCGCCGCAGGTGCTGCAGCCCGTGGCTCAGGTAGGCCACCCTCATCTCCTCGTTCTTCATCTGCGGAGCAAGCGGAGGGAGAGGCGGCGCTGGCACCTCCGCCGGCGGGGCAAAGCGTGGGCCGCCCCACCCTCGCCCGGATCACAGGTGCTGCCCTGGCACGGGGCACGGGACCCGAGGGGCCGGCCGGCGGCGCTGGACCTCCCTCTGCGCTCCCCCACCCCTCGCTGCCCCATGGGGGCCACTATGGGGGGCCGCCCGGATCGGGGGTTCAGCAGCGCCCTTGCAGCTCCTGTCGCAGCTGCAGCTCGCCCTGCACCTCACGGGTTGCACGGCGTGGGCCGGGTGTGTGTGGAGCGGCAGGTCCTTCAAAACCAGCTGCCAGTCTGGGGGCTGGTACAGTTAAAACATTCCGGGGCCTCCTTGCAGGGCAGACGCCCCCCCCCCCC